GAGTGCAAAACACACACACTTTACGGCTCACTCGCTCGAAACTAACATAATCATAAATTACACGGAACTCAAAGTATTACTGCTCTCTCTTCATTCATTTATCTGCTGGCTTTCTCTGCCAGGCTTATATACTAACATAGAGGGCATCTCGGATTTCCCCGATCATTCGAGAAACATCACGCACGCTACCAGCGCCAAACGCGCCAGCAGCGTCACGTGACTTTTGCTGTCGTAACAATAGATTACAACTAATAATCATACTACATATTACAACTAGAACAATATCTATTACATTACTGACACTGCAATTGCTGTTTCTATAATTCGTTCTTTAACAGTTACCTGTTACAGCATTATAACTAATTAATACTACAACTTGTATTCTTAGTACTATTTTGACTAATTATACGAGTTCTTTTACTACTGAAGCTACTACTAATGTTAAAATTATACTAGTACTACAACAAACTATTACTAATGTCAAAATAATCAAATACGATAACTTGTATTTTTGGGAATATACTTAGTAGAATTACACATACGACTACTATAATTACTATTTCTTACAGTAACAATTGTTATGGTGTGAACGCCTTTTACAAGCTGGTTCAGCATGATTATAATTAATTAATTATGCTTGTCATAAGACATGAGACCTGATACTAATGTCTTGTAACAAGCATAATTAATTACTGTTTCTTCCTTAAGGGTTGGTACTATCAGCCTTATCTTTAATAATACTAAACGTATTACTAATATCATACTAGTACTATTTCTATCCTAATTTATTCAACAGGGGAGGGGTGTCTCATTTCCCTGCTAGTAAGTAAATTAAACAGTTTTCATGGGTATATAAAACAACCTTTGCCTGTGGACTCCATGCGGGAAGATGTATTAACTGTATCACCGAACAGACAATATCGAGGCATTTTGAGTCCTACTACGCCTGCTACACACGGACCTAAAGAGAGAGAATTATATGCAATATTTGAATAAATCGTCTGGAGCTGAGAAAAAAATTAAAACTACATTTTTTTTTTGCAAATTACATCTAATTTTAAATGCAACACAACCAGTACCATATCTGGAAGATTTAAAAGGAACTGAGGTGGCTTTGACACAGATAAAAAAAAAGATATTTTATATTAACCAGTAGCTCATTCATTTATTTTTAATTCCCAAATCAACTTTAGACCATAGGCTTACTAACCAGTATTCACGTTCCAAAAAGAAAAACTCACTACGGACATATAACACACCATAAAAAAAAAGATTAGTTCATCAAGCGAGCATCAGCCTATCACTATCAGAACGTCTCAGCTAAAACTTAGCAGAAACATAAGAAACACAATAGAGTCAACTGAACAACAATGCTATACAGAAACATCTATATTGTTTCTCCTTACACATTTTAAAATATCTTGCGTTGTTATGTAATAGAAATATTATTATCATTCTAATTCTATGTTCTAAGATTGACACAGACGTGTCGTAAGCATTCGATTTGGCAAAGGTATTTTCTCAAACACAAGAATGTTTCTATCTTAAACGACAGTCATACGCAATTTCTATAAAAAAAATGTTCAACTATATAATCTTTGTGACAAACTTAAAGAAAATTTAAAATCTGTTAATAGGCCATTGTTGTAGCATTGAATTATTGTTTAAGTTTAACTTTTTTGAGTAATAGAACAATTTTATCGTTACATCTTTCTTAGATGTAGGCCTGTAACAGAGATGGAGATTGTCTATTGCCAGACCTTCTTGAAATTATGGTTATTTTGAGATTAATAACTTGCTACGCCCTTTTAATTATTTTTTGTTTAGCTAAACTTTATAGCTTACACCATGTCAATTATTCCAAATGAATTAGTTGTATATGCAATTTAAAATGATCATTTATTTATTTTTCATTTAGTAACTTACATAATTACATAATGCCGTTTGGAAGACGAGTTAATCTACGAAGTCAAGAGGTCTGACGACCCGAGTAACAATATCATCAGAGTGTACAGCATAAAGTATAGCCATTTATTCCAGCAAAATATCACACACAAGGTATATATATAGTAGTACTTTCAAAATGAATTATTTTGTCCTTATAGAACAGTTGTTTTCTATTACTTGATACCTTATTAGTATATCTTACTATGTTTAGTTTGTTAAGATATTTCGATATCTTTATTAATTTAGCTAGGTTTCTTTTTTATATAATAGAAATCCGATTAAAATGGATGGTATAAATGTGTAAAAAAAGTGAAAAAATAACAAACTTTACCAGAATGGACTCCAATCCTAAGTTTCAATCTTTCTCCTGGTTTATGCCTGATCTCAAAGTTTTGAATCGCTCCTAAAAGATGGAGTGCCATAGAAGCTATTTCTCCAGCGTGATTGTCTCCATTCCTTAGTGGTAGCCCGCTGACGACCATGTAAGCATCGCCAATAGTTTCGACCTTGTACACGTCATAGTGTCCGATGATAGAGTCAAAACAGGTGTAGAGATCGTTTAGCAGGTCAACCACCTAGATATAATCGGTGAAAAAATATATCAATTTCAAATCTCAAATAACTGTATTGTTCATGCAAACATTACGAAAACAGAAAAAGGGTGTACTTTCTGGATAACAACGGTATAACATGAACCAAACAAGCAGATATTGCAATTAGATGAAAGATAGAGGAACGCACTACTACATGGATAACATTAATATACTGAACATTAAAGGGTCAGATGTCAGAGATCGATGGGAGATATGTTACGTGAATAACCACTGATCAAACGATCAGACATTACAGATGGATCAGAATCATAATCCCTGAATGACATCGATAAATCAATCACACATCAGACAAACATATACATGTATTGTTTGATTTTGATGTATAGTCATTTACCGATTATATATACAAATATTCTACACGATACACATCAGCATACATCAATAGAAGTATCAGAGATCCATGATATCGCAATCGGGTAACATTAAACATCTGAATCTTTTTCTCTCCTGTTACTAAAAAAGTAAAGTCAGTAACATAAATAATATAACTAACCTCGAAAGTATTATAAATGCATCACAACTGTTTACCTGTAAGCTTAGACATCTGGATATTAGAATAAAGTTGATCAAGTATGTTTATTCGCTCATTTGATATCTTAGATCTCATCCTAGCGACTAAGCAATATAGTTAAAATCAGTATTATAGTCTATTTAAATGTATCTGTGGCACTAAACCAGAAGAATATGTGTAGCCCCTCCTCCCAGTGGCTCAGCGGTACGTCTGAAGGCGTATAACGATACACATGGTGGGCACAACACAAATAGCCCATTGTGTAGCTTTGTATTTAACAACATCCAAAATAAAACAAACCTGTTTATTAGCAATTGTCACCCGTTTAAATTTCTCACCTGTAATGGTGTACTGACAGCTGAGAGTTCTGTAAATCCAACTATGTCACTGAAGTAGATTGTGACACAGTCAAAGCTCTCGGCTTCGACTGGCTCTCCACGTTTTAATTGCTCTGCTACTGGCCTAAAGAGAAATAATAAAAACTTACTCTATTATTACATCCGAAACTTAGACTCTGAAGAAATAACTCGTACATAACATTCTACTAAATTTGTAGACTGATAAAACAACATAATGCTCTAAAGAACGTACACAATGAGATACGATTATGTCACAAAGGTTTACAGATAGTGGGTTTTAAGTAAACAAGTTTTACTATCATGCCCTATACAAGTTGAAGACTAAGGAAATTACTTATGCGACAATCTCCTGAAGAACGTAAACTTTGAGGAAGTCGTTTACATACCATTGTCTTTTGGAATATAGAAATTAACGAAATAACGTATTCCTAAATATCCTAAAAATAATAGTTTGTGGAAATAGTATATATCACAGAGCCCTTTAGAATGCATAGACAGAGGAAATAATTTATTTCAAGTTTTTTAAAATGCAGAAATTGTGGTCATAAGCTATAAAACAATGTCCTATATAATGTAAATTTTGAAGAAAGAAGAACATATAATATTCGATAGAATGTGAAAGTTGAGGAAATAAATTAAACCACAATATTTTATGGCAAATTTGTTTGGAGAAATGATATATAACATAATGCCCAAAACGTGTAGAGATGGAGGAAATAAATGTTATTACAACGATACGCAGTATGCTTCAGAACTCAGTACATAATTTATACCATAATAATCTGCAGACCGTGGTTTTAAGAAACAAGTTATACTACAGTGTTTTATAATGGTGTACAATACCTTGATTTACTTCTTTTAACCAAAAACAAACTAATTTTGTTAAAGTTATAAAGGGAAAATTATATTATTCTTCTATTCTACGAAGACTTCTTAAAAACGTTTTCCGATTTTGGGCTTAAGACAGAAAAAAACATGCATTAAGTTACGAGTTAAGAAAAAGTAAAAAAACAAACAAACAATAGTTCATTTTGTTTACCTACGTTTTACAGACGTTTATCTTATATTCTAACTAGTGAAATATTTTAAGTTTTGACGTTCGATTGCTACATTTTTTGTATGTATTCGCGTGTTAAATACTAAATAAGAATTTGAATAGAGAAGGAAAATATCCTTATGGTTTTCTATAGTCGAGCAATTAGTCGAACAAGGAATGAGTTTGTAAAAGAGACTTGGTCTTTTTTAACCTATTTTTTTCTGTATGCGATTTGTCAATGTTAGTAGTTATTTAAACTATTTGCCTACGCAATAAATATCTTGTAAAAAAACTATAACAGACAATATAACTACATATTATAAGATGTAGGTTTGTGGAAATTTGAATAAAAGGAATTAATCTCCAAAAGTAAGTAACAACAACTAAACTGTGGAAGAAAGAATTCTCTTTTTTTTTAAAGTAATGAAACAAGTTAAAATCTATCAATAACGCACAAATCCTGTGGTAAGTTTTTCTCAAATAAATTTTCGTAGGAGTTGATTCTCTAAGAAAATCAGAGCTTTGAAAGAGATTCTAAATCATCTCTATAAATCGCATTTCCTGAGAAAAAATTAATAAATAACTGTCAAGATATTATACGAGATATAAAGATAATGTTTGCCATTATCAAGAAACAGATTCATTTGGGATTTTTTATTTTGTTAAAAGAAATTTACCAGTATTTTACAATGATTGTTTGTTTGATTTTCGTTTTTTAATTATGCACAAAGCTACACAAGGGCTATCTGTGTTCTGCCCACCACCGGTATCGAAACCCGGATTCTAGCGTTGTAAGTCCGCAGACATACCGCTGTACCACTGGGGGGCTTTACAATGATAAAATATTCAAGAAAAACAAGCGGAATTCAATCGGCGTCAATACCTTATAATCTCGTCATTTTATAATAAACCCTTGGAACGATTTATTTTAGAACTTGAACAATTCATTAGACGAAAATTCCTAGCTAACTGAAAATTCAGAAATAGATAAGCTCTTGGACAGTCAGTAATTATCAGTCTTTCTGTTTTGTATCTGTTATTTATTTCCACCAATACCCACTTTGGTAGCATTCGGAGAAGTAAATTTTCGGTCTTTTTTTTCTCTTCCATCAGCTGGTTGGTTCTCTCTTGAACAAGACCCTCTAGATTATAGGCGTATTTCTCCATAATTGCAATCATATTGTCAAAAATGTTGTTTTTACTGAAGAGAAAGATAAAACTAAGGATTAGGCAAATACTATTTAGCATCGCTTTGCTAATGGATCATCATATGAACTAAATAAAAACATAGTTAATTAAGAGTTTAAAATTTTTTTGCTTATAATGACAACCAAGTGTGAAAATAAAAAATAGTTTGTATACAGATTTCTTCATAACGGGGACGAAAAACAAGGTAAAGTTTATTAATTCCGCGCAAAGCAACACGAGGGCTATCTGCGCTAGCCGTCCATAATTTAGAAGTGAAAAGCTAGAGGGAAGGCAGCTAGTCATCAACACCCATAGCCAACGCTTTGGCTACTCTTTTATCAACGAATAGTGGGATTGACCGTCACATTATAACGCCACCACGGCAAAAAGGGAGAGCATGTTTGGCGTGATGGGGATTCAAACCCGCGAACCTCAAATTGCGAATGAAGCGCCCTAACCACCTGACAATGCCGGGCTAAACAATGTAACATTGAAAGAGCATGTCATGTTTTCCTTTCTTGCTTAGTTAAGTAATGCTATTGTTAATAACAAAAATGAAAACTTAATACGATGCTCACATTTTGTTTTACTTTTATAATTTACAGGTATAAATATATTCTTAAACAGAAAATGTATTCAATGACAAGGTAATCGTAAAAGTGTAAAAACAAATTATATTTTTAATCCACTAAATATATCTTTATTAGACAAGTGCGTACTAACTACCATTATGGTATTTTGTATTCCCTTTTATATATCATAGATATAAATACATTTTAAATAAAATTAAGTAAGTTTTAAATAAAGTACAATCCACGATAAAAAATACATAAATAAGTAACTAGCAAGGCAAGTCATATCCTCAATAGAAGATGTTTATATAATAAATATAATGTAATCAATACTGCTCATATACAATAGCTCATGAAATATAAAGCCACTAAACAACAGAATCAGAGTGTTGTAAAGAAACTCCAGAGCTCAAGATTTCAAATCTATGAGACTGCAATTTAACACAAAGTAAATACACGCCCTGCTTATAGATAAGGTGGGTTTTGACAAAAATACGTCATTAGTTAACATGTGGATTCATCAATAGAGATGTAATCTAACTATGTATAATAAAGTAATTATTAACTGATGATAAACTAATCTAAATATGTATATGGACATGATCAATACTTAATACATGGTATGTATTCATCATTAGAAACTAAATATAAATATGTCTATAGACATAATCAGTATATAATATATGCCACTTATTCATCAAATCTAAATCTGAACATGGACATAATAAATATCTGATATTTTTTCCACAGAGTTAAATTTACGGCAGCGAACGACATTCTAAAAATTATACGCATCCGTGTAAACCTTCTCAAGATTCACTAGAAATGTGGTAATATTTAATGTCAAGGATACAACTGAATTTTGTAGGAATTGTGTATTATATCACTAATAAAACGAAACTGTAAGAGATATGCACCAATTTATGTCTTTCTTTTCTTTTTTGCTTACAACAATTATTATGTTAATAATTTTAAATAAACATTCTTTAAAGATCATATTTAGGATATTAAATTATATTTATATGATTTGAATAAAAAATGAACTGTGGAATTTTATTTACTTATTTTGTGTTCATTACGATAATATAAAAAACACGGTTTCTTCACACTAACATACAAACAGGCCAATTAAATTGTAAATAAAGAATCACAGTATGTGTTTAAAATATTGTTTATATGAAGTGTCTGTATGAAACACTGAATCTCTACACAGTTCATGTGAAGTGCTTGCATGAAACACTGAAACTCGATACGGTTCATGTGAAGTGTTTGTATGAAACACTGGAACTCGATACAGTTCATATGAAGTGTCTGTATGATACACTGGAACTCGATACAGTTCATGTGAAGTGTCTGTACGAAGCACTGGAACTCCATACAGTTCATGTGAAGTGTCTGTACGAAATACTGGAACTCCATACAGTTTATGTGAAGTGTCTGTACGAAACACTGGAACTCCATACAGTTAATGTGAAGTGCCTGTACGAAACACTGGAACTCCATATAGTTCATGTGAATTGTCTCTATGAAACACTGGAACTCCATATAGTTCATGTGAAGTGTCTCTATGAAACACTGGAACTCAATATAGTTCATGTGAAGTGTCTCTATGAAACACTGAAACTCTGTGTACGTTTTTTCAGATTATGATATTTTACTTGCAACACAAGTTTCGCATAATATAACAAAATTTAAAACTGATTGATGAAATAATTCAAAATATCCAAATCGTTGTTTTCAAAATCCTGATATACATATCTTGTTGTGGTTTTTATTTCTGGAATTTTTTAGAGCCATAATTTACTTTCATTAAAAAACAAAAAAAATATAAATTCTTAAGGTCTCACCTTTAGTTCTAAAGATATTACGAAAAAGAAAACGCAAAAAAACAACAACAACAAACAAACGGATGAAAGAATACGGTTCATTCATTTAAAAACTTTCATAACGAAGAAGAGAAACCTGTTTTAAATGCAGTTTTTATAGCTTAATGTGTTAGATTGAACAGTCATCCTAACAGATCTTTTGAACACAATACACATAAAAGGGAATAAATATTTTACTATGAATAACTAGAGAGTCATATTGGAAAAAACAACAGCAACAAAAAACCCAGAACCATAACATAACAAGTGTAGGTAAGATGCAAATAATTTGATTCAAGGTTTCAACATAATCTATAAAAGTATAAGTTACTAAATTCAAAGTATGACACTCACAGTCCAGCCTGCATGTCTCTCAATTTTTGGTTTATTAACCGGAAATCCGGTCTTGCATCTGGGTCCTCGTCCCAGCATTCTTGCATACACCTTAGTATATAGTCATTGCATCCTATAAGTTCGTCGATAGGAGGACGGAAAATATGACCGCCGTAATGATGAGGATTCGTGACCCTTTCGATGATAACTAATAATAAATGTTAGCATTTTAACACCGCTAATGCCTCTAATGTTTGGAAAAAGAAAAACATGCAATTATCTGATAAAAAAGGTAATAACCAACTTCTAACAAGAAATAAACGACATCAAAAATAGGATTTCATAAAGTTAAAATATTTATGCCTACCTTACCAAAAAATATCATCAAACCCAAGCATATTTATTTTTGGGGGAGATATCTTAAATTTAAGCTAGAGTATCCTCTTTTGAACTATCTTACCGTTCGGTTGGTCATGAGATAGGCACATTGATGTAAATTAAAGTGGATAGGCATAAAGCATTACAAGAAATCCTATTGTTTTTTACAGCTAGCGCTATTTTTGTTCGCGCTAAGACATTTATTAATATAATCTTAAATCAACGGTAAGAAAAACATTCAAAATTGAAAAATGAAAGAGAGAATCAATCTTACTGTTCTTTATGAGGTAACGTAATTCAACTAAAATTGTGGTTCTAAAAATAAATATAATGTTCTTATGCGTATACCATAATAAAATAAAAATAAAATCTCTAAACTGCAATAAGAGTTAATATGATATTACACATACATTTGCCGGGCGGAGCTTCGGGTCCCCAGGGTCCCTTCCGACTAATAATTTCGTAAAGAATGATAGCGAATGAGTACACGTCTCCTTTTTGGGTTCCTCTGGGTGGAGGATTCATCATCCTGAGCAGCTCCGGTGATTTCCATAGTAACCCTGTTACAAGGGATGATTAGAGGTAGAATTACTAAACGCTAACAGTGAAAGTAATAGCTACCTGCATTATAAGACATATTCAAAATAAATTGTATATGACTAATATTAATTCTTAAATTACCGACTCACTTTCGTATTGTTCACTACAGGTGAAGACTCGTATTGCATTATATCAAGTAATTTAATGTTGTTGCCTGTTATAACACTCAGTTTAAGGAACTGACAAAAAAGTTGGGTAAAATCACTTATTTTTTTTAGGTAAAATGTACACGAAACCCAACAGTAATTAACTGGATTAATTGCAACATTGATAATCTTTATATTTAATTTAATGAGTGATTCATACGTTACTAGAAACCCTACAATCAACAAAGTCATGAAGGCATAAGCAATTTGGAAAATATATTTCAAAAACAGGTGGGATCCATGTAAATCCGAATGGTAGTTCTGAAGTTAACCTTTTCGTGTTTTACACTGTTGTAATGATTGAAATCCTTTCCTTCTTAACAGTAATTCATGTGATCTGACGTAAAAGTATTGTAGAACTTACCTCTCTGGTATTTTAAATCCTTGCCAAAGGGAATTTCTTGTCCTTGTTTTAGCTCATGTAGTCCATAGTCCGCTATCTGAAGAACCCATCTACTGTCCACGAGACAGTTTGAGGATTTTAACTTTCCATGAGAAACGACGTCAGACTCGTGAAGATAAATCATACCCTACAGAAAACAGTTTTTCTATCATGATTAAAAGAGTTATCTTAGAAGGTGTTAATACGTCAAGTACATGTTATACTTGAAGTATGATGCATGTCACTACTATATTTCTACACTTACATAAAAATGTTATTATGTTCATCACTATGAATACCTCACATAAGTGTAGAATATACTTCAATAATAACTAATTTTTTCTCTTGTCACAAATAACTCATTTCTTACAATTTAAGAGCTTTCTTTGTTGTTCAATTTTACTATGATTTAACGGTTTGACGTGAAGAAAATATTACCGAGATTCTTTGTCATGCTGGTTGCCTAATATTCTGAAGATTTATTTAAATGCCATATACGAGGGATGCTGACAGATGACCTTACAATAAACAAAAACCAAGATACATCTTGAGAATCGAGCATCATAGGTGTAAATAGAAATATTTAGAATACAGCAAAATTGTTTTACCTTAATCAAGTCTGCCACTAGAGAAGCCACGAACATGTTATCGAGGTCGAGGTCTTCGTTCTTTAGAACGTCCTATGAGTAGCATGAAAAACAAGAACAAACAAACAGAAAACAGTCGGTGTAATACTTGTTGAAACTGAAACACAAAGTCACATAAATCTGGCCCACTTGATTTTTATTCTGGAGTTAAAACAACTGAGTGATTTGGAAGAGAAAACTATGTTATGAATCAAACAATCTTAGCTAAATCTAAATTACACTTTTTGTATAGTAAAGAAGAAAATGGGTAATTTTCAAGAGAAGAGCCTTTAAATAAAGTTTCTTTTTCAACACGCTGAAAATCTTTCACCTGAGCGATACTATATGCACAGAATGGGTTAAACTGTCACGCTGGAAACCCATCATGATTTTGATGGGTTAAACTGCCATGTTGGAGACCCATGATAATTTTGATGGGTTAAGCTGCCATGTTGGAGACCCATGATAATTTTGATGGGTTAAACTGCTACGCTGGAGACCCATGATAATTTTGATGGGTTAAACTGCCATGTTGGAGACCCATGATAATTTTGATGGGTTAAACTGCTACGCTGGAGACCCATCATGATTTTGATGGGTTAAACCCATCATGATTTTGAACCACAGACTAGAAGGAAGGCAACCAGTCGGTTACTCTTAACCGAATAGTGGAATTAACTGTCACTCTTATAATGCATCTACAACTAAAAGTACGAAAATCTAAACCCGATGACTTCTTATCTCTAGTCCTATACGCTAACCAGGCCATGTTTGGGTTCCAATATATGTAATAGGTAAGCATTATTTATCCAGGTAGAAAAATAACAGATTAGAAACGCGTATGCTAGTTCAAAACAGATTACTTGTAATGTGTACTGAAGTTGTTAATTGAATGACACTGAAATTAGTTTCTAAACAGAAATTGTGCTGTGTAATCTATCTGAACATATCTTTTGCTATTTACATTATTTTCTACCTATCTGTTAATTCTGTCTAAAATGCCAACACGACCCACGTGTTTGATTGTATTTTTTTACTTTTGAAGATTAAGAAAGGAGAATGAATATAAGTAGTGAAAAAAAAAAGTATCGAACGTAGAAAGTTACTATGGAAGTGTCACGCACGTCTTATTGAACTCTGTGTTCAAGCCTATCGAAATAACTTATACGGTTTGGAATATTTCAAAATCGCTCAAAGAACAGGGAAATTTATAGGCTTTCATTGGGGCACGCAACAAACAAGTGTCCCGATTTTCTTATTTCAGCTCTCGGCTCACGTAGATCGCCTCTGACTGATATTTCTAAGAGGTAACTTCTCGTTATCAATAATAAAATTACCTTTTTATATGCCTTTTTATAAGTCAAGGTTTAGCTTGTTTGAAAACACTTAACTGTAAAATATACGCTATAGCAAAATGGTAGAGTTAAAATTTAGATTAGATTATAGTCTAACGTAATAGTTCATGTATGTTTTTTCATTTCATTTTATGGGAAAGCGGAATATATCCATTCCTATTTGAAGCGAGGGGTTAAGGAACCAACAACAACACTAAGTAAAGTAAAATACGTAGGGATATATCCGTCTGATTGGATCTAAGAGAAAGAAATGTCAGTCAAACGATCATTAAGTGATAAAATAAGATATAAAAGTAAGGGTGACCGAGCATGAAGTGTAAATACGAAGGTTCTAGTGTGTTTGTTCGCTTTCTAGGATGTTATCTTCAAACCAATGAGTAAACTGGCCAAATTAGAAGGTACTAATGAGCTCTGGAAATTAAAAATTCCGTATCAGTCAACAGTGTTACTGACAACGATGGTTTTCGAGAAAATACTTCCTTATTAAATGTTCGCCTCCAGTGATGCACTCTGAAGATTTTGATACCCGTGGTGGACTCAGCATAGATAGCACATTGCGTATAGTTTGTTTGTTTGTTTTGTTTTTTTTTAATTTCGCGCAAAGCTACACGAGGGCTATCTGCGCTAGCCGTCCCTAATTTAGCAGTGTAAGACTAGAGGGAAGGCAGCTAGTCATCACCACCCACCGCCAACTTTTGGGCTACTCTTTTAACCACCGAATAGTGGGATTGATCGTCACTTTATTCAGCCCCCGCGGCTGAAAGGGCGAGCATGTTTGGTGTGACGGGGATTCAAACCCGCGACCCTCAGATTGCGAGTCGAACGCCCTAACCACCTGGCCATGCTGGGCCCATTGCGTATAGTTTTGTGCCTAACACCAAGCGTTAAATGTTCTTTCATCAAGTAATTTTGTTCTTCACCCCTACTTTGTTTTGAAAATATATTCTTAAAAAGTGTTTAGCTACGAGTAAACAATTTTAATCATTTGTAAAAATAATAATAACTTTTATAGTATTTTTCGATACATTTTAAACTATTGTATTCCCTGATAAAAACATAAAAAACAGGAAAATGCTCTAAAATCGTACTTTCATATAAATGTTTCTTGTTTGAAGGAAATTTGAGGGATTCATTGTCAATGATCCATGTAAAAGCATCAAAATTTACATGATATTTTAAAACTATATAAAAGTCAAAAGTTTTTCA